GCAGCATCCTGAGTTTCACATTAATTAACAACATTAATAACGATCACACTGGCAGATCACTACACTGCTCATGTATGAGGCAAGAAATCTCTCTATTCACTGTCCTTTCTCCTTCTCATATATTTGCATTTTAAATTCTCTGGGGCATGAATTATCTATGGTTTGACATGAGGTCTAGCAGAACAGACCTTCATGAGGCAAAAAATACTAAAGTGAAAACAGCAACTTTGCTAACCAGCTTGGTAAACTGAATCTCAAATGAAAAAAAGACCTAAAAGATGCAGATTTAGGAATTACAAAAATAAATAAATGTCTGAGAGTATTGTCAGGGGTGGGAGGAGGATGATGTGCATCAGGCAAAATAGAAAGGAGAAAGTTGTTGTTATTAACTGCATTTATTATGACAGCGTCTTTCAAATAATTAAGACTGCAGTCCCACTGTGACAGGCACATATAAAAACACAGCCCATGGACAATCACAGTGTAAACAGATATGCGACAGAGAACAAGGAGAAAGAGTACAATGAACCCCCAGAAACATCAAGTTAATTGAGGACAAACAGCAAGAGAAGGCTGCACTATTTCTTGGCATGCTAAATTTAATTGGAAAGGCACAAAGTAAAGCAAACATCAGGCTTAAACTTAAGGGAACTGAACAAAGGGAAGAGAGAAGGAATGCAAGTTGCACGCTCCAAAGTACATTGCTTTCATGCAGGTAGTTTTTATCACAGTGAAGAGGATTATTAGCTTTATTGCTGCTGCTACCATTCCTGAAAATTATCGTTCTCATGGGGATGGTTCTCGGAGAGGCAATAGTAGCTAACTGCAAGCCGGGCACTGACAGGCTCTCCTCTAATGCATGCTGCAGAGCAGAGGATGAAAAAAACAAATCTCCCCAGGCTTTAGCTCTGCCAAAACTTCCCTTCACAGCCATTCAAATTCCACACTTCATTTCCAGACTATGAAAAGAGCAATAAAGCCCAGGTTTGTCTTGCCTTGTCTTACTGTGGAATATTTCACTCTCCACAACGGAGTACTGTAGAATTTCAATAATTGATATTTCAAAAGCATCAAACTGAGATCTGCTTTTCTTAGGCACTCTCCTGATGGAAGCAATGGCAATCCCTGTTCCCAGAGAGCTTAAAACTGCAAAGGCATAAAGCCTGAGTGAAATCAAGAAATGAACGAATGAGCAGAATACAAAAAACAGGTGCTATTTGCATAGAATAGGTGAAGCTACAGCTGTTAGTCGGGCTGTTAGCACAGCTCACCATCTACTTAGCTAATTCTGTTAATGGCATTTTTCCATACTCATTACTGCAGGCAAGGAGTTTTAATGAGGATAAGGTGATATGAATGAATTTCAGATTGAGAACTGATGTAGCCAAGTTTTCCGGTTTTGCACACCATTACCGTATGACGTCTTCTGTGAAGAGGGAGAGCACAAAGCAGTGACAGGCTTTTGCATGTGCATACCAAAATGGCTGTACCAAACCCACCAGCATATGGAATTAAACCATTCCAAGACCATAGTTAAGAATAGAAAACACTCAAACCAAAAAGACGCTCAGATTTTCACCGCATTTCTTCTTCCTGGGCAGGAAGAGGGCAGAGTAAAGAGGGGTCACTTAAGTTGTGGCCCAAGGCAAGTAAGCTAAAAATCATGATTTTCTTTCAGCAGGAAGGAGAGTAGACAGGGCCTTCCTTCCAGCTGCTTACCGTGGCTTCATTTTGACTCAGATTCTGAACACTTTCAGCCTCAGTATCACTCTCAGCTCCAGCCTGGCTGGTCAAACAGCATCCCTCAATAGACACAAACAGCTCCTGAAAAGGTATTTTCAGCACACACTACTCCACGCACGTTCTGCCCAACCAGAACAGAACAGCAAACCCTCACACTGGTTAGTGTTTTGCTCATAGTGCGTTACTTACAGCTGGGGACCTAGGGTTTGCACACAGATTTCAGCTTCTCTTTCAGAGGCAAGACCAACGAGAGGAAGGAGCCTGCAAACCTAAGGCTGATCAGCCTACTAAGGAAGGTAACAAATCCAAACATCCAACAAGCTCTTGGAGTAACTTGCACAAAGCACACGCTGCTGCTGACCCCTGCAGACACAGCTCTACCACACGCCAGGACACCTCACAAATGCACTGCTGACTCCTGGCAACCCTGGCACTGACACAGGCCCACAGCACCGCTTGTTCAGTCACACCAGACAGCCTTATGGCTGGGGACAGAGGGAGTGATGTGTGACAATGTGCAGACAGGTACAGCAGAGGCTCAGGTGCACAGCCTCCATAAACACCGCACAGGCAAAGCACTCGGCATGTACAGCCTTACTGCATCCAGCTCTGCTCTATGTTCAGCTGCGAGGAGGGACACTGATCTGCTTGACTGAGTCTAGAGGAAGCCATGAAGATGATCAGAGGGCACCTCTCCTATGGAGACAGGCTGAGGGAGCTGGGCTTGCTCAACCTGGAGAAGACTCCAGGGAGACCTTGTAACAGTCTTACAGCACCTAAAGGGGCATACGGGAAATCTGGGAAGGGATTTTTTACAAGGACATGTAGGGATTGGACAAGGGCAATGGCTTTAAACTGTCAGAGGAAAAATTTAAATTAGATATAAGGAAGAAATTCTTCCCTGTGAGGATGCTAAGGCACTGGCACAGACTGGCCAAAGAAGCTGTGGCTGCCCCATCCCTGGAAGTGTTCAAGGCCAGGTTGGACGGGGATTTGAGTAACCCAGTCTAGTGGAAGCTGTCCCTGCCCATGGCAGAGGTTTGGAACTGGATGAGCTTTAAGGTCCCTTCTAACACAAACCAGTCTGGGATTCTATTGATCCTCCCGCTCACAGCCACAAACCACTGCCCTGGGAAGGCCACTGGGCACAGCAAGAAGCATCTCCTCGCAGTGGTCCTTACACCCAACTGCAACAACCCTAGTGCAGCAAATACACAACAAAGCTAAACCAAAACGATGGTGGTGGTACACCGTGGAAAACAACCCAACCCAACAAGCACACATGCAGAACCAGACACACACACCACACATACATCAACACGGAAATGCACGGACACAAGAGGAATACCCAGATACAGAGACAAACGCACACTGCGAGGAGACACAAGCTCTCTGTATGTACAGACCTCCCCATGCACAAATACACCTCCATATACCCACTACAGGTGTGCCCCGCGTGCAGACACGTGTGCAGACAGGTGGACAGCCCTGCACACACTGCGCACACAGATGCACAGACACACGCACCCCCAGTCACACCATGCAGCAACCCCACGTGCGAGGCCCGAACACGCGGGTGCATGGCTGCGGAAACACGGGCGCTGCGCGGGAGCGCGCCCTGCTACCGCGGAGACGCGCACGCACACGGGCACGCAGCAGGAGCGGAAGAGGAAGGGGGAGAGGTGGGACAGTCTTCCGCCTTCCGGCGGCCCAGGCCGGTCACTCGGCTGGCTACGGGGGGCCGGGGCCGGCGGTTTGGCCCGGCCGAGAGGTAAGGGCCGTCCGGCGAGGGAGGTGGGGGGGACGCGGGGCGGGGAGGCCCGGCGGGCTCCGGGCCTGCACCGACACACCGCTGGGCCCGAGTGACAGGGTCACACGCACACAGCTGGTGACCTCCCCGGCGTGCGCACCCGGGCACGTCCCCGCAGAGCCCCGCACGGATCCACGCGCAAAGTTAAAAGAGCCTCGAGACAGCGCAGGAATGCACAGCAGCGGCTCCTGCAAGGTACGCGTCTGTAGCAGCTGCACGTAGCACCTGTGTGCGCAGCGAAACACGTCCCGTGAGTGCAGAACGGCGGCTCTTGCACAGCTGCCGCTATGCGTACAGCCTGCCTGCGCACTAGAACCCCCGACACAGCTGTCCTCGCTGACCACAGAACCATGGAATGGTTTGGGTTGGAAGGGACCTTAAAGCTCATCCAGTTCGAGCCCCTTGACACGGGCAGGGACACCTTCCGTCAGACCACGTTGGTCAAATCCCCATCCAACCTGGCCTTGAACGTTGCCAGGGATGGGGCAGCCGCAGCTTCTCTTGGCAACCTGTGCCAGTGTCTCACCACCCTCAGCTTTGTATTGACTGCTAAAAATTAGTCTGCCCCAGGCTTCAACCTGTCCCCATGCTCAGACTGTTTATTCACACGTCATTTTACTTGTTCCTGGGACAGGACTCCTTAGAATCATAAATAGTTCCTCATCCTTGCTAAGAGCTTGCAAACCTCAGGCTGAGCAGCCCTCTCCATGTATATGTACACACATGGATGTGTGTTTACAGTGTCACACATGCATATAGAATGGAGTCACATTCTTCCCTAGGCAGAAGAGGCCGTGCTCCTGCCAGCTCCTGTGATATCACATTTGTTTTCCTGTATCATCTTTGGCTTTCCCTGTGCTTGCTGCCTGTTTAAAAACGCAGAATACCAAAACTGCAGATAATACTCTGCGGTTTGCTCAAGTTTTCACAGATGTTAAAAACCATTTCTGAAGCTTTGAATGAAATGCAAGTAACGGTCAGGTGCACCAAAATTGCCACGGGGAATCCATGAACCAGGGAAAAAATAGGGGAAAAATATAATGGAAGAAATGCCTCAAAGATTAGTCTTTGATTTCAAGCACTCGGGTATTTTGAGGCGTGTTTTGAATGCTTTGACGGTCCTTTAAGCAGCCTGGTCTAGTGGAAGGTGTCTTTCCCCATGGTAGGGGTATTGGAACTGGATGAGCTTTAAGGTCCCTTCCAACCCAAACCAGTCTGTGATTCTATAGCTGCATGAGTACCATGCCAGGACAGATGCCTGTAACTATTTAAATTTCAATTTGCATGTGGGGATTTTAGGCCTATGAATCTGTTGCTTATTTTACAGTTCATGTGTTGCAGGCAAGTCTTATGCGTGTCTCTTGTCTCTTTTTCCCCACTAGATTTTTTCATCATTCATGAAGAAAAGTATCATTATTGATGTTTTTATTGAATGGTCCTAGTTGAATGGCATTTAGGTGCATGCTTTCTGCATGTAAGAAATTCAAATAGTTCTGGTAACTGGAAAAAATCAGCTCACTATAAATAGGAATATGCCACCCTAAATTTAATGTTTGTGAAAAACCGGTAGAGTCAATTGATACTTTAAATGTCCGATAAAATAAGTCTAAAATTAAGGCACTGTTTTCACTTTGGAGCATGCCTGAATCAGTAGAACTTGAGTGTAAACGACAGTGAAGAAACTTTAAAAATTAAATTAAGGTTACTGACGTAATATCAGTGAATCCATTTAAGAGCAATTAGCAGCTGGACTGCTTCCACAGTGGCACTTGGAAGGCAGAGAAATACATCATTTGGGGCCAGTGCTATGAGAAGCAAGTTGCATGCTGGCTATGAAGGAGTTTTCAACCCTGGGAGATAAACCATATTTTCAAGTATAGTAACAGTTAATTTGTGATGTTATAATGCCAAGGTGAAGACTTTGCATGGCAGTTTTACACTGTATGGTGAAGGCTTTGGAATTCCAAAACCTGCATCGAAGAGTCAGGCTGCAGATGTTGGAATGGCTGCTCAGAGACACTGCACAAATTGCCACTTCATTCACTACATGATTAAGGTGGTCCCAAATTCATGTGGTTTAAATGAAACACTTTCCAAAGATGATTACTGGAACCAGGAAGAAAGTCCTATTGTTAGATACCTCCTGAAAAAAAATCTGGACTGAACATTAGAAGTGTGACATGCCTTTTTATTTGACAGTGCATTCTCCCTCTTAATTATTGGCTTATCTTTCTGTACACAAAAAACCTGTGTAAGAGTGGATACTCCTGTGAGGAGGAATGAACTACAAGTATGGGATTCCTTAAAGGAGTCCAGGCTCTAATTTTAAATTACTGAAGATAACATCAACTCTTCATACATTCTGCTGTCAGATTTTCTCTCCAGGTTAAAGCCCTCTGTTACCGTAAAATTACTGTTGGTTGCTCATTCTGTATAGTAATACCATTGCATCTCTTTGAAAGAGTAGTTCTAGGGGCTAGGGTTTACTGAACTGGAGTCAAATACTAGAAGTATTTGGCTGATGGGGGTAACTTGTTTTGTCTTCTTCACTGCCTCCTCAGAATGACTGCCTTTTGTGTGATGAAACTTCTGTGTCAAGCAACCAGAAACGAGCAGAGATACACAAAAAGATTCTGTGGTACTCTTCTTACACAAACACAACTGAAGAGGGTCTTCTCTCCATTCTGGATGGTCGTGTCTGACCCTACAAAGTCAACAGTATTTGGACTTACACAACCATTTTGTACAGCTAAAAAATCTCCCAAGGAGCCGAAAACGGCATTTGGAAGCGTTGGGCGAAGAATTCCTTATCGGATATTGCACGTCATCAACCAGGATGGAGAGAGCTTAGGAAATATGCACCGAGCTGAGGCACTCAAACTTATGGATCAACATGACCTGAAACTAGTTCTTCTGCGTGAGAATGAAGAACCTCCTGTATATAGACTAATGACTGGGCAGCAGATTCATGAAGAACAGCTGAAACGTGCAGAGAAGAAAAAATCAAGTTCAAAATCAGGTATGTGCATTATCGACACTGCAACACTGACCACTTTGGCAAATGCTGCATTAGAAGTGGTTTCAGCAGATGAAATCCTCTTACTTGCATTTGTGTAAATCCAAAGCAATGTCACTGCGGTCCATGCTATTAAGGATTTGCAGTGGTGAAGATAACATTTTGGCTTAGACTAGTCTTCCATAGAGAAGCCTTCTGTTGCCTTCTCAGGATTTATTATCTTGGCACCTTCTATTTTTAAAAAAATATTTATGTTTAAGTGAATATAACTGGACCCTGGTTCCATGAGCCTCACTGAATTCCTGTTCCTCTGAGGCATAAAGTGAAAGGCAGGTTTTACGAACTGAGCAACAGATACACCTATATAATTGCAAAGTTTTGTCACCGGTAGTCACAAAACATTCTTTCCCAAGCTTGCTGTGAGGAAGACAAAGTCTGGAGCCCTTTCTTGTACAGAGGAAGAGAACAACTTTTATATTAAACACTTCTCAGGTCTCAGCTGTTTTTAAGTCAGCCTGCTCCAGCAGTTTAAAAAACTGAGTTTGGCAAGTAAGTTTTAGAAAGGGTGTCTGACCTTATACCCTCTTCTCTTAGCCTCGGGCTGACAAAGGCATCAGCAGTGTGGGCAGAGTTCTGATTTTAGAGGCAAGCACTATTATGATAGTGACTTTTTCTGTTCAAGAAGCTACAAAAAGAATATTCACATGGTAACTACTTCAGAGAAATCTTTAAGGAGGAAGAGAGCACAAATCAAATGTAATTCAAGGCATCACACTTTCAGTTGAATATTGTGCTTCACCATTCAAGAAAATGGGTTTCAGATTAAGAGGGCTCTAACTTAAGAGCTTTTATATTCAACTGTACCATGTGTGGAATGTAGAGTTTGCACACTAGGTCTTTAAATCCAAATCCAGCACTTAGCTGTTTATTTGTTAGACCAGCATTGTGGGTGGTATGAACAAAACTGTAATTAAAATAAAAAATACTTAAATCCTTCTGATCCTGAAGAAACTTCCCTGTATGCTTCAAACATGCACTCAGCCTCCCAATTACAGCGGTGAGTGCGAGATATCAAGTAGCCACCTTCCAAGGTGGGAGTGGTGCCTGCTGAGACAATGAGATTTAGATGCTCTGTGTATGAGAAAGCAGCACAGGGCAGGGGAGTTAAGCAGACCAAACACCATAAGCTGTTGAAAGACAGCAAAGGTTTGTCAGATGTTAAGCCAGTACAATTTTGGTTCTGTTTTAAATAGAGATGGTTCGGAAGGAGTTGTCCTTTTCTTCAGCTATTGCCAAGAACGACTTAGACACCAAGACTAAACAGATAGCCCAGTGGATTGAAAAGAAATACCAAGTTAAAATTACCATCCGGCAAGCAAAAGACAGCAATACAGACATGGTAAGTGCACTTCTGAAAGCTGAACCAACCAGTTTCATTACATAACTGTACTTCTATTAATTTCCCCTATTCAGTACTGTTTTAATACATCATGTACTGCTAAAAATAAGTGAAGGTCTGCGTCCCATTAAAGGAATGGCTGTCCCACCTTCAGCTGCTTCTGTTCAAACACTACAGTTCTAGGAAAGTAGTCCCATAGAGACATGTCAAACACCATGCTTTAAGAATGCAGTTACAATACTGGCTTTGACAGCAGAGTCTAAGCAGTTCCTACTCCTTTGCAGCCCCACCTTATTAACTGTGCTGGTGAAATTTCCTTGCCAATGCCTTAAGCCAGGTCACTCACTGAAAAGTTTAGTAGTAAGGTTTAAAAAAACTCTGCTGGTATTTCAGATGGATTATTTCACTAATCTAACTGTTGTTCTGAAGGTGCATTTGTGCAGTGGTGGCTAATGTTAGTTGCCCACTGCTGTGTGAAAAACTACTGGGATGGTGTTCCAAGACTGGCAAAGTAAACATCTATAAATAAGTTGGGGAGCTGGTGGCAACTTAGTAGTATAACTGCAGGGCCTTGAGACTTTTTTCCACTGCCATTTGCTCAAGTGGCTTTTTTTGTAAAAACTCCATGTAAGAATTTGTTTTCTTTTTTCCTTTTAATATGTGCAGTGAAGTAGGTTTCCCTGATGATCTTCTCTACTAAATTTCTGGAAGAAAATTGTGATACCGATTCATCCAAAAGGAAGAAAAACTTCTCACAGAAGTTGAATTCACAGGGAAGGAGTAACATGAGGAAGAACTGGATATCCAGATTTATGTCCTTAAATTTAAAAGCTTGATTGTGAGCTTAAGAGTTCAGCTTGTTACATGAATCCACTGTATCAGTGAGTTCAACACTACCAGGTTCTGCTGACCTTAGAACAATACTGCCCCTTAAGAGGAAAGCCCTGTAATAATATGCCCAAATCTAGTGGAAGAGGATGATGGGGATGAGTCAGATGCAGTCCACTTTCATGTACATCTTCAAACAGCAAAAACAGGATAAGTCAGGAATTCAGCCCAAGTGTTAGGAAATGGCTTAATTCCTCTGGTAACCTTCCTAAACCTGCTAATGAGTGAAGAACAGATTAGGAAAGGACAAGCTTTACTGCTCAAACCAGGACTAGCAAGTAGCTCATTTCAGCTAACTGCTAAACCACAAGCAGGAAATCATGTAATTACAGACAGCCTGAAGTATTTTTCTACCTGTGTTTGTGCACTTAACCCTGGTTTTCTCCTTCTTTTTAGTTCATGCTTTTTGATCAGATTTTGGAGACTGTGTCTGAGAAAGCTACTTACCTTTCCAAGCCAAAAATTACTAGAGAAGGAGTGAGCACCTGTATTTTGAGACACATGTCTGACAAAGAGCTGAAAGCATACCAGAAGATGGAAAACCAGAAAAACAGTACAGAAAAGAAAGATGAAAATGAAGATCTGAAATCAAATGAGTTGCATCAGTGACTTTATAAAAAAGTATAAACAATCTCTTACTTAAAAACAAACACAACCCTATAAATATAATAAAAGTATTGTTGAACTTTACATCGATTATTCCATGAAGACTGTCGTCTCAGTCCACCTTTACTGCAGAGTCAGAATTTCAACAGTTGGTATTTCACTTTCCATGGGCTTATCCATTGTCTTGCTTTGTGTCACAACAGCATCCGTCCCTGGCTGTGTTTTAGGAGGAATGTAGCCACTCAGATGAGAGGCTAAGCTCCTCTTAGGACGAGAACGCTTTGTCTGGCAGAAATAAATGCACAATTAGCAACTTGACATATCCATGGAACAAAGTCTACTACTGTGATGGGGAAAGAAGAAAATGCCAGCACTACATCATTTAAAGGAGCTTCAGAATTAAGAATCCCCCAGATCAAGTAGACAGCTGGCCTGCTTTCCTGCTTGAAGTCTTATTCTGAAACCTGTAATATTTATTCTCCTCTGAAGTGACAGGGTATGGTTGATAGTACTTTTTTCAAGAGTACAACTTACTTTCAAGTTCAGCTTTTTCTTTTCAGGATCATGTACAACTGCGTGCCTTGCTAGGCTCTGCTACAGTTATAAGGAACAGGAAAAAAAAGTTAGGTATATCATTTCAGATTATGTGATTCAGATTAGAACAGTGTGAAAAAAATACATACCTTCATTGCAAATGTTTTTCCACAGTCTGGATAATCGCAAGAGAACGGTTTTTGCTCCTCATGAAAAGAGAGGATATGGCTTTGAAGGTTAAATACAGTTGTGTAAGTTCTTCCACATCCTTCTTTTGGGCATCTGCAGACCTCCCTCTCGGCAGCATGTACTTTTTGATGCTGCTTGAGGTAATCTTTCCTTTTAAAAGTTTTGTTACACTCACTGCAAATGATTGTTTCTGAGTGGGAGAGAGACAGGCAAAGTATAAATTAATAGCTTCTTACAGAAGCTCAGAATCAAACCTTAGTAGTCCTCTAAAACAATGCTAAAATCCACAAAAATTGCAAGGAGCTCAAATTGGAAGAGAATAATGCAGTATGAATTATCCAGATCCAAAATCCTACATTACTTTGTGATAAAGTTAATGAGAACTTGCACAAAGTTAGTACACTGAGCAGCATTCCATCAGTTAAAGGCCTAGCCAGAGCGACAACCGTTTTACCAATAAAGCATTAATATACAAGTTCATCTGGACACAATGACAAGTTGATGAAATTTCAGCATGAACTCTTCAAATTAGCAGTTTGTTTCCTGTTTGTATCAAAAGTTCAGTTCTGTTACATAATCATTTTGAGTTTACCTGCATGACTTTCTTTATTATGTTTCAGAAGCTCTGACCAAGTTTTTCCAGTATATGAGCAGTCTTCTTTCTTGCATGCATAGCCTGTTGGACAGGACAGATGTTTACAATCACAAAGGTTTTGGCAAACAGTCCAGCTTTTCAAGGGGGAATTCCTCTTCCAGCATTTGAAAATTAAAGGCCTGTATCCCTCCTCCCATACTGCAACCAACACAAATTAACACAAGAACATCCTGTCTTAAGAAAGGAACACAGTACAAATCACAGCTTCTTGCATACTCTACCTAGTCCCCTGGGTTTGTTGGGTTTTTTTCTAGCACTGGTAAGCAGGTTAGCTGTCAGTCATACTGAACAGACAGGAGTGTAGCAGCATTAGCTCAAACATACATGACCAGCTCCTGACAATTCCACTTAAATACCTTTCACATAGGTACATTAATAACTTCAAACAATGAAAGTCTACATGGTTTTGCCACAGCTCCACAGAAAATCTGTTGCAGAACTGGCAATTGATCCTAACCTCTGGAAGCCTAGGCTAGTGTCTTTAACCATCAGCCCATCTCCAGAAGATGGATTATTAACAAGGAGGCACATTAGGAAAATAAATTACTGAAGGCATCCCAAGCTCTGTTTGGCCTGACACAAGTAATTGAACACTGCAACGCCCTGCAACTGTATCCCACCTGACTACTCAAAACAGGTATTCTTGTTTTGTCTGACTGGATCACTAGGCCCAGAACACTTTCATGTCTGTTGAACATCCCTGTGTATTCTCTGTACTGAAGAAGTCCTTCTTCCTTTGCTGAAACGTAACTGAAGCAAGAAGAAAAACTATTACCTTCATGTATCTTTTCGTGCCGCTTTAGGTGACTTGGGGTAGAAAAGCACTTTCCACATCCTTCATTATTACATCTAGGTATAAAATACACTGGTTTAATTTCTTTCACTGCATCCAAGTATTATTTGCTCTTTAAGTCAAGAACAATTAAAGTGGACAAAATAATACAAGTTTCACTTTGCCTAAAGATCTGTTTTGTGTGTCCTCCCCGCCTTGTAAAAGTAAATTCCATAATACGTTTGTAATAGAAGACTCTGATCCCCTTGAGAGTGAAATTATAGTACAGTTTCTGTATATACAGCAAGTTAAGCTTTCGCTAAAGAATCAAGCCTTATATCATCCCTACACAGTAGGCTCTTCAAAGATAAAAGAGAAATAGAAAGTGGAGAGTTTAAGTGGTTTGTACAGATCTAGCAGAGCACCAACAGTATTTCTGTGCCTGTCACACAGCCATACTAGTGAACGTCACTTAAGTGGAACGCTCCTGTTAAGTGTGTTCCACCTGTAAGAAACACAAGACTAAACTTTGCTTTCATCAATCTATACCGATGTGTCCTGTAAAGAACAAAATCATAGATTCACAGCTTCTCAGATTGGTGTCCAAGCCTTTCACCTTTTTTATGCTACTACTCACTTCATGTTAGCCACATCACTTCTTTTTACTGAAAAACAGAAGTAGCTGCATTTTTCATTACCCTGCAAGCTCTTATGCTTGTATTTCAGATTGTGAACTAGAAGCTCAGGGGGTCTTTTTGTTTATTTTTCCTGTGAACCTGTAATAAACCCATAGAAAACATCTGGAATGATAAGTTTCAGAGCACCAAGAAACAAAAACCAGACTACTGAGCAAAGCACTTGCACAAGAAATGTACTTGCAGCCATGACTACAAATCCATTCCAGTTTTGGTTTTGCTGCTTTTGTAAATGCTACATTAATGAAAAGGTTGAGAAAAGTCTCCTATTTTCATCTACAGTGTTTATGGAATTGTTAAAAGTTCATTATTAAAATTATCCACCTACTTGAAGGGAGGGTCATTGGTGTGGTAACACTGATGAACTTTAAGTTGTTGATGCTTCCTGAAAGACTCGTTACAGCCCTCGAAGTCGCACTATTTAGGAAATTAAGTTATCATTAGAAACCAAACAGTGCAGTCCACACGTGTTTGCTGAAATCCCAATCGCAGTATTTGAACTCATGCAAATACTGCATAATAACAAGTTGAAGTATTTCACTAGATACATGAAAAGGAGCTTGTTTAGCCTCCACTTTGCAGTATCAAAGGTAATTACCACATATTGCCTTTTCCGATTCTGATGCTTGCGCTCAATGTGCTTCTTTAAGTTTGACTTGGTTCTGAATTTCTCATTGCAGCCATCAGCTGTGCACCTACAAATGAACTACATTATCATCACTCCCAAACAGTGATTTGTTTCATAGGCAGATACAGAAATTGCTGAACAAGAAGAATACACAAAGAATAACTGAAACTCAACCCAAACATAAAAAATTGCCTTAACAACACAAAAAGACAGGCTAAGTTACAACCAAAAGCCACAGGAAGATGTACCAGAAGAGATACTTAATAAAGCATGCAGGAATTCCTAGCTCCTAATCCATGACGTGCAGCTGTTAAAAGCTTAGTCATAACTGTCCTTCCTTATTTTAATTCTGCATTGTAAGGAGAGATCTGCCCGTTCCTATTACGGATCGTGGCCAGATAGGAGGCTTTAGGCTGCTATTTCCCACAGCTCTCACCCTGTCCGTGCACTGTTATGGCACCCCCCATGGTAACAAACCTAGAAGTGCATAGCACCTACACATCAGTTTCAACTCCACTTCCGTAAGGACTAGCATAATCCGTTTTAAGATGTAAAAAGCGCGGCCTTACTCGAACGGCTTTTCCCCGGTGTGCATAAGAATGTGTCGAGCGCGGTGGAAGTCTCTGGTGAAGCCTTTACCGCAGCCATCGTAAGGGCAGACATACGGCCTCTGAGATGCGAGCGGGAGAGGAGGAGGGAGGACGGGTCAGAAGCGGCACACCATTCCTACGGGACTCGGCTGCTTCCGGGAGGCTCCTTCAGCAGCACACACCCACCCATGGGGCTTTGGGGACCCCAGGGGATGAGCCGGGCTGCCCGGCCGCGACCCGCGCCCGCCCGCCGGACCCCAGTGCGGCGCCCTTTACCTCACCCGCGCGAACCCTTCCTTTCCCGGCTCACCTCGCCCGTGTGCCGGCAGAGGTGCGCGTCTAACTTCCAACCCTTGTTAAAAGAAGAGTCACAGCCCGGGAACGAGCAGATGAAGGGGCGGGCGTGGGGCGCGCTCCCCGCGGTCCCCTCTGCGGCCATGCAGCACGGCACGCGGGGCGCGTCGGCCGCTGCGCTGCGCTGCTTTGGCGCATGCGCCGCCGGTCGGTTGGGTTCGGAGGCCGTGGCGGTGGTGCGGCGGCGTGTCCTGGAGCTGTGCTGTGGCCGTTGGGGCCGCCTCGCCCGAGAGCTCGATCCGAGCAGCCTGGGGCCGGGGTGCCCTCTGTTACCTCATGTTCCAGGCACAGCCCTCGCTGCTGCCCGCTGTGGGGTCCTCTCACACGCCGGAGGACAGTTGGTGGTGCAGGAGCCCAAAAGGCCAGACTCGGGGTCCTTCCACCCAACAGCCGTACAGGGGTTTGGGGGTGTACGGTCCTGCTGTCTCCCCGAGAAGCACTGGAAGTGCCAAGTTAGATCCTTGCCAGTTGTGAATGAGTCCCTCCTGTGCCAGGGAAGAGGATGGGTTTGTACCATGCTGGTTAGCCCCTGGTCCGGACTGGAGGAATATCTGCTGTGCCCTCTACCATCAGCACCCAAATTCGGGGCTTTGCAGCACAGTCCGTGTCTCAGCTGCCTGCGATAGTGTGGCAGAGGTGGCCTGTCACCCTGGCCTGTGGTCATGCT